CTTGTTAGCTTGTTTCTCTTTTCCAAGTTGAGTTAAGGGGGAACCTGAAAATGGACAATGTCAAATTTGATAAATAGACCAAGGAACTTAGCAGACTCTTCTCAGAAGATGATATGCAATTAATCAACAAATACATGAAAAAATGCTCAACATCTCTAACAATTAGAGAAATGCAAAAAAAAAAAAAAACGACTCTAAGGTTTCACCTCACTCCAGTAAGAACAGCAGCTATTAAGAATACAAACAACAGGGCTGGGGTTGTGGCTCTGAGATAAAATGCTTGCCTAGCACATGTGAGGCCCTGGGTTCAAACCTCAGCACTACATAAAAATAAATAAATGAAATAAATGTATTATTTCTGACTACAACTAAAAAATAAATATTTAAAAAAGAATACAATAAGTATTGGTGAGGATAAGTGGGAAAATTTACACTGATATATTGCTGGTGGGACTGCAATTTGGTGCAGCCATATGGAAAGCAGTATGGAGATTTCTTGGAAAACTTGGAATGGAAGCACCATTTGACCCAGCTATCCCACTCCTTGCACTATATCCCAAAGTCTTAAAAATAGCATACTACAGGAACACAGCCACATCATTGTTTCTAGCAGCACAATTCACAATAGCTAAACTATGGAACCAATCTATATGCCCTTCAGTAGATGAATGGATAAAGAAAATGTGGTATATAAATACATGATAGAATATTACTCAGCAATAAAAGAGAATGAAATCATGGCATTTGCAGGTATGTGGATGGAGTTGGCGAATATAAAGCTAAGTGAAGTTAGCCAATCCCCCTAAAGCAAATGTCAAATGTTTAATTCTCTGATATAAGGAGGCAGATTCATAGTGGGGTTGGCAGGGGGAGCATGGGAGAATTCGACAAACTCTAGATAGGGCAACGGGGTGGAAGGGAAAGGGAAGGGGCATGAGGGTAGAAAAGATGGTGAAATGAGATAGACATAATTAACCTAAATACATGTATGAAGACATGAATGGTATGAATATAGTATGCATACAACCAGAGATATGAAAAAATGTGCTCTGTATGTGTAATATGAATTATGATACATTCTGATGTCATACATAACAAATTAAAATTTTCAAAAAATTAAAAAGATTAAAAATAATTTAAAGTTGACTTGTTCCTTCCTCCAATATCTAAATCAAATTTGATATATAAGAGTATGTATAGGGTTGTTGTGGGAGTACAAATATGTAAGGGATGACACACCTGTTGACAACCTCAAAAGTAGACACTAGAGTAATTTCTAGACAAGATTAAGGCAGCTATGTAGGGCCAAGAGGCATATTGTCAAATTCCAGGACAGAAAAGATGGCCAAAATTACAGCATCCCCTGTCTCCAAAATATATGGAAGATGGCTATAACCAGGCCTGTCTGAGCACCTGATCAAAGTGTGTTGGTATAGTTATTTCAACTCATGAAAATGTCACAGAAAGATGAATGCATCCTCCATGTCATGGGGCCCTTTGAAACACCTGGTAGGAGAATGGAACTCAGCTAATGGGTTGACAAGCAAGTGACCTTACCTCACTTTCTTGGCAATGGAACATGCAGAAATTGAAATCCAGGTAGTAGGCAACCAGAGCCAGACACAATCCTAATCTGTTCAATTGTTTTGAGTCAGCAAGTACAGAGTCATACATTCATGGCAAATACTAATCTGTGGATTTGCAAAGCAAGGAAAGCACAGAGTAGGGGCCTTTCCTGAGAATGGAGTTGGTGAATTCTCCTGTGTCATGACAATTCTGGTGAGTATGCCCAAAGACATCAGAGCTGAGACAAGTCAGGTACTTGCAGGTGAACATAGTTTAACCCACCAGTCAGATGACACTTGGATAGACACAGAAAATCTCCAGGGGTGTGTGTGTATGTGTGTGTGTGTGTGTGTGAGAGAGAGAGAGAGAGAGAGAGAGAGAGAGAGCATGTTTGCACATGTGTATTGATATTTGTGTTTGTATTTCTGTTTGTGTCTCATATTCAGTGTGAAAATGAAGGGAAAGTCATTTGTTACATTTTCATTGATGGTATAGTAGTGAGTCATTTTCCTGCTGGCTACTGTTTTTTTAAGTTGATGTATCCCTCTTAATATATCATACTAGGGAGAAGAAGAGAAAAAAATTGTATCAATGGATGTGTGCTGTCTAGTGGAAACATTCCCAGCACTCATCCTACAAATTTATGAATAACCTACTGCTTGCCTGTGGATGGATAACACCTATAATGTCCATGACTTTATGTATTCCTCCTGAAATTTGGTCAGTACCCTGAAGGATTTCATGGTTTTGAGTTTTATATATATATATATATATATATATATATATATATATATATATATATATATATATATATATAATATTTTATATTATATTACAATATAATATTATATACTATATATACAATATAATATAATTATATATAAATATTATATAATTATATATTAACAATACATTATATAATTATATTTTATATATTATATATATACACACATACACACACACACACACACACACACACCACCTCCAAGCCCTGTGAAATGGCCATTTGTTGGCTTGGTGAAAGGAATGTTGAGCATCACTGTGAAACTCAGATATCACTCTGAAAGGTATGGTTTTCATAGGAGGACCTTGCTTGGAAAGAAAGAAATCCAAATAGGATGAACAGTAGAAGTAATTGCCATAGGTTTGGTCATGTGGAAATCTATCAGGGGCATTGGTCTTCCCTATGTTTCTGTTTCCAAAAATGTGAAGAAGTTCTTTGCCTCAACCCTCTCTATTGTGAAGCCTCAGGTAGAGCAGTTTCAGAATTAATGTAGTGGCTGCAGCTGTCACTCAGTAGTAAATTGCTTGCCTTGCACGTGTGAAGCACTAACTTAGATCCTCAGCACAAAGGATATTGTTTGTCCACCTACAACTAAAATTATTTTTTTAATGTGGATTGAGTCTTAACTGCATCTACTAAGACACCTGACATTCAAGAAGTGACAACAGGGACCCTCTAGGTGGAATATGTTTGTCCTCACCCTGAGATACCTAGGACATAGATGGTTGAGTTCTTTTTTTCCTCAAATACACACAAAGAACCTACCATTGGCAGACACTAGGCCTCTAATTTGGGAAGAAGTGCATAGTGCATAGTGCATAGCTTCCCTTATTCTCAGGAATTGTGTCAAGCCCACCATGTTTTTAGGCAAAAGAGGAGCACTGGACTTTATGATTGATACAGTGCTGGACTTCTCTAGGAATGGAAATCTCCAGCCAGATGTTGGTGAGGAGTGGCTACATGGGAGAAGATGAGTGGAATTTGGGCCATGAGGGAGGGTTCTTCTTTGAAATTTGGGTATATGTGTGGTACTTTTAAGACATGGCTGAGTAAACCTGAGGTTCCATGCTGATGTGAATCTCATCAGATACCTGAGTTCTGGGGCTCTCACTATATTACTATTATAGTGAATTGAGGTGGGACTCGAGGTACATAAGCATCAGATGTTTTATTGGAAATTGGAGTTAGGCCCAGTGTAGATTACTCCACAACAGAGGGAATGTTAGGCAGAATTTCACACACATTTATTGGTAGAGCATTGTCTGCCAATGTAGGGAGTCTGATACACACATGTTCCTCCCATTTTATACCCATTGGCCTGACTACATATGACCTCTTGGCTAGTATTTGGGAAGCTCTCCCTGTGTGTATTCTCCAAAGGTTCCAAATAAGAGTCCTCACTACTTTTTTGCCCCTGTCTCAATCCAAACCTTAAATCTATATTGTAAACCTACACAGTGTGCATATTTAAGGGGATGTTGACTTATACATTCAATTACCAATGGTACACTGGCATATGTCATTATATATTGATTTATATGATATATCTGTGCATCCCATAATTTAAAAATATGAATCCAAGTTACACATCTAGTGCTCTTCTGTGTTTTAGATCTTACATATTTTATATATTTTTATAGATATTTGTCATATATACATTCTTATGAATATTCATGTTTTCTAATATCAATTTTATTATTGCATTACAATTACTCCTACCCCAAAACAAAATGTAATGTTGACTCTAACCTTACTCCATTACTTCAATCTTATTTGACAAAAGAGCATTTATAGAGTTGATCTTGCAGTACAGGAATGTGGGGTATCATCCACCTGCTGCAAACCTCAGAGGTAGAGACCAGAAAGATCCCTGGGGAATATTAAGGCAGATATGTAGGCCCTGAGAGGCATAATGTCATCTTCCAGGCCAAAAAAAAAAAAACAAAAAAAAAACATGGTCAGAATGAGGTGATATGTCTGAATCAAGTTTTGTCTTCTCAGTCCAGGGAAGATGGACAAAACCAGGCCTGTCTGGGTACTTGATCCTGGGCATGTTGGTATAACTTTGTCAACTTGTGAAATGTCACAGGAAGATGTGTGCAACCTCCATCTCATGGGGCCCTGGGAATCACCTGGTAAGAGAATGTGGTTGCCAAGGAAATGAAGTCACCTCACTTCATTGGCTAAGGAAGTTACCTCACCTCACTTCCTTGGTGATGGAACTCACTGAATTTGGAATCCAGGTAGCTAGGCACCCAGAGCCAGACACAGTCCCAGTCTGCTCACTTGTTTTCAGTCACTAAGGACAGAGACATACTTTCTTGGCATCTACTGATCTGTGGATGGGCAAATGCCAGGAAAGCACTGGGGAGGGGTCTTTCCTGAGAATGAAAGTACTGAATTATCACGGATTCAGGACAATTCCAGTGAGTTTTCCCAGTATTACCAGAGCTGAAACAGGATAGGCAATTACAGATGAACACAGTTTAACCTACCAGTCAGATGACGCTTTGGATAGAAGCAGACCCTCTCCACTTGTGTGTGTGTATTTTTGTTTTTTTCTCTTATTCCCTGAGAATATGGAGGGAAAACCATTTGTTTAGGTTTTCATTGACTATAGAGTTATGAGTTATTTTGCTGATGGCTACTGTTTGTAGGTTGATATATCCCTTTTAATCTTTCATTCTAGGGAGAAGAGGAAAAATGCATCAGTGGATGTGTCCTGTCTGGTGGAAACCTTCCAAGCACTCATCCTGGCAAATTAATGAATGGACTACTGCTTTCCTTGTGGATGGGGAACACCTACTATGTCCATGATTTTTTTCTATCCCTCTAATTCTTGGCTGCTACCCAGAAGGTGCACATAGGTTCCTGTAAAAGATATGTTCCACCCCCAAGCTCTCTGAAGTGGCCATATATTGGCTTGGTGAAGGGAAGCCAGAGCATCACTGTGAAATTCAGAAATCACTGTGAAAGGTAAGATCTTCAGAGGAGAGCCCAGCCTGCATATGCTCTACAGAGAAGTCATCCAAGTAGAATGAGCAGTAGGAGTAAATGCTATAGTCTTGGTCCTGTGGAAAACTCTGTGAAGGGCTTTGTTGTTCCCTATTGTTATGTTCCCATGAATGTGAAGAATTTCTTTGCCTCAGGCCTCTCTTTTGTGAAGCCTCAGGAAAAGCTGTTTCAAACGTGAAAGCACTTTTTAGCTTCCCTTGTTCTGAGGAAGTTTGTGAACCCACCGTGCCTTTAGGCAAATGAGGGGCACTGGATATTACATTTGACAAAGTCCTGGAATTCTCTAGGTGATAAAAGATCCAGCCAGATATTGATGAGGCATGGCTACATGAAAGAAGATGAGTAGACTTTGGGCCATGAGGGAGGGTTCTTGCTTTAAGTGTGGGTATTTGTGTGGTTATTGTAAGTGATGACAGGGTAAACCTCAGGTTTCAATCTAGTGTGAACCTCAGTGGAGACCTCATTTGTGGGGCTTACCCAGTAGAGGGATTACAGCGAGTTGTTTGGTATTTTAGGTATCTAAGTCACAAGAGGTATCCTTAAGAACTTACAGCTAGGTCCGGTGTGGATTTCTCCAGAGCACTAGGGATCTCAGCCATGAGTTCACACATTTTTTTCTGTAGAGCCTTGTCAGCCAAAGTTGAGAGCCTGATACACACATGTACCTCACATTTTATGCCCATTGGCCCGACTGCATGTGACCTCTTGGCTAGTATTTGGGAAGCTCTCCCTGTGTGTGTTCTCCAGAGGTTCCAACTAAGAGTCCTCACTACTTTTTTGCCCCGTCTCAATCCAAACCCTGCAGGACAACTTACTTCATTCTTGACATATGGCTATACCTTTACCCAAACAGTTTTGAAATTCCCATGGCCAGGAACCACTAGAGCACCTTAGGAACTTCTGTTGCTCACCATGATGGAATAAAAGAAGAACTTTATTGTGAGGAACTCATTAAAATTCTAGGTAACACAGACACCAGTGGTTTTGAGCTCTCTGATAATGGGGCCTGTGGCAGATGAGTGAAGGTGTGTGCAAAGAAATCTGTGCAACGGCCATGTGGATCTGGCATTTCCTTCCAAACAGCATGTCACTGACATTATGCAGCAAGCACATCCTCATATGTCAAGGTATTTTGTTGTAGCGGTTCAGGGCTATGCTCAGAATCATGTTTCTACTCTGAATTGGGAAAGGTGTATAGGATAGCAGACAAGATGGTATTTTCTCCTGGATGCCATGATTCACCATGATTTGCTATAACTCCCTGCAGCACCATGTTCCAGTTGAACAACTTCTATTTTCTTGAATCAAATACCAAATTCCCTGTGATGGCTCAAGAACCACCATAAAAACTGGAGGATGTCCCAATGGCTTCACAATCCACATTGGGAGACATTTAGCCCCTAGTAGCAACAGTTCACCTCCAGGAAGAGGATTCATCTCTGCTGCCTTATGTCCACTGGAAAATACAAAAAATGCCCCTGTTTCAACCCAAATTCCACACTACCTCTTACTTCATTCTTGAAATATGGCTATACCTATAGCTTGAAAAATTGGAAATTCCCATAACCTAGAACCACTGGAGCACTTTAGGAGCTTCTTATTGCTCATCGTGACTGAATGAGAAGGAGAATTCATTGACAGAAACTCATGAAAATGCTGGAGATTACAGAACCAGTGAGTTTGAGCATGCTGATGATGGGGCCTGGGGCATTGGAGAGGAGGTATGTGTCAAGAAATCTGTGCCAAAACCATGAGGATGTGGTATTGGCTTCCAAAGAGCATGTTTCTCAAATCATGCAGCAAGCAGACCCTCCTAAGTCAAAGCATCCTGTTGTCGAGATTGGATTGGAACTATGCTCAGAATCAGGGTTCTAGTCTGAGTTGGGAACATATATGGGATAGCAGTCAGGCTGATGTTTTCTCCTGCAGATATTGATTCACCACCTGTGATGTAACTATCTTCAGCACTATGTCCCAGTTGACCTTTACATTCTTCTTCAAGCAAATATCAAACTTCCTGTGATGCCATTAGAACCATTGTGAAAGCTCGAGGATGGCCCAATGGCTTCACACTGCACACATGGAGACATTAAGCCCCAAGTGGCCAAAGTTCACCTCCAGGAAGAGGATTCAGCTCTCCTGCCTCATGCACATTAAAGAACAGAAAACTATGTCTTTCTCCAGTTCACACAAATGGAGATCCAGCTATGATTATCTTACTGCCAAGGGAGGCAAGGCTCCTGACAACAATATAAATTTCAAGGACCAAAACTTAGAGACAGGCTGTCAAGAAACTATTAGGCCAGCACACCTCCATGTTTGTGGAAGGTTTACCTGTACCTTAATTTTATACGCTTTTCTGCCAACTCCATCATTGTGAGCTTCTCAGCATACCCCATTCCAGATAACCCACCTCAGATATCATTCTTCTTCCTCTCTACTTCTGTTTTATTTGGGGCCATGGAAATTTTATGTCATTGCTTATGATGGCATTTTGGAAATACATTTGCATAACACATGCTTGCATGACCTTGTAGGAATTTTCTTATTTTATTTATCATTCACATATTCAATTTCTTACCCTAACCCTAACCCTACTAAATATTGACTACATTTCCTAATATTATTGGTAAAACTAAACCTAATAGAAAAGAAATACAGCTAAACCAGATGAGGCCTTACATATATTTGGAATTGCCTTTTCCATTTTGATTGTTAGGTGTTACCAAACTAGTCACATATTCATTAAAACACTTATCCATAAGTCCTCAAATTGAAAAAAAATGTAGAATATCCTTACTCTCACTACAATGTAGCCTGGGACAGAACACATATTTTCATATACATACATATTTTCATAGATGATTCCACATATATATTCTTATGGTTTCCCTGATGTTGGAAGGTACCAATTCTCTAAGCACAATATTCAGCATCAAGTTGGGCTCGAAATAAAAATAAAAAAAATTAAATAAAAATTAAAAATAAAAACCTAACATGACCTCCATCACAGGACAAGGATTGACATGAAAGCAGTGAAGGTAAATGAATATTTATGTGTACTTTGAAGGTTGTATATTCTATTATCAATGACATGTATTCATATCTATTCATATCTAATAGACTAATAAGTCTATTAGTATAGACTTATGTATATAATAGAGATACAGTGCACAAATTATGCAATATTGAATAGATGAATAACGCTGTACTCTGACCTGAGTTGATAGTGTGTATTTACGTGGACTCTTATGCATACTTTCACAAGCTCATTCCAACAAATATTCATATTTCCTGCTATACATAGACATTTTCTCATACTCACTCTAACCTCATTCAATATTGAATAGTTACCCTAATTTTGCCACAGTAACTATACCTAATGATATGGATATTGATTTATGCATTCCTTATCATTGGTACATAGCCCTTAATTTAGTTCATATTCAATCTATGATATATCCAATCAACCCCATATTTAAAATTGTGTATACATATGATTGACTTTAAATAATTTCTTGTTTTAGAACACATATATTCATACATGTGTTCTTACTTATTTTCACATGAACATTATTCTGATCATACATCATATTTAGTAAACATATTCATTTTCTAAGCAAAACCCAAATAAACTCATTATGTGTGACGATTCTTTTTTTTTTTAAATTGTTTATTGTTGGCTGTTCAAAACATTACATAGTTCTTGATATATCATATTTCACAATTTGATTCAAGTGGGTTATGAGCTCCCATTTTTACCCCATATACAGATTGCAGAATCACATCAGTTACACATCCATTGATTTACATATTGCCATACTAGTGTCTGTTGTATTCTGCTGCCTTTCCTATCCTCTACTATCCCCCCTCCCGTACCCTCCCCTCCCCTCCCCTCCCCTCCCCTCTTCTCTCTCTGCTCCCTCTACTGAGATTCGTTTGTCCCCCTTATATTATTTTTCCCCTTCCCCTCACTTCCTCTTGTATGTACTTTTGTATAACTCTGAGGGTCTCCTTCCATTTCCATGCATTTTCCCTTCTTCTCCCTTTCCCTCCCACCTCTCATCCCTGTTTAATGTTAATCTTCTTCTCATGCTCTTCGACCCTACTCTGTTCTTAGTTACTCTCCTTATATCAAAGAAGACATTTGGCATTTGTTTTTTAGGGATTGGCTAGCTTCACTTAGCATAATCTGCTCTCATGCCATCCATTTCCCTGTAAGTTCTATGATTTTGTCATTTTTTAATGCAGAGTAATACTCCATTGTGTATAAATGCCACATTTTTTTTATCCATTCATCCATTGAAGGGCATCTAGGTTGGTTCCACAGTCTAGCTATTGTGAATTGTGCTGCTATGAACATCGATGTAGCAGTGTCCCTGTAGCATGCTCTTTTTAGGTCTTTAGGGAATAGACCGAGAAGGGGAATAGCTGGGTCAAATGGTGGCTCCATTCCCAGCTTTCCAGGAAATCTCCATACTGCTTTCCAAATTGGCTGCACCAATTTGCAGTCCCACCAGCAATATACAAGTGTACCCTTTTCCCCACATCCTCGCCAGCACTTGTTGTTGTTTGACTTCATAATGGCTGCCAATCTAACTGGAGTGAGATGGTATCTTAGGGTGGTTTTGATTTGCATTTCTCTGACTGCTAGAGATGGTGAGCATTTTTTCATGTACTTGTTGATTGATTGTATGTCCTCCTCTGAGAAGTGTCTGTTTAGGTCCTTGGTCCATTTGTTGATTGGGTTGTTTGTTCTCTTATTGTCTAATTTTTGAGTTCTTTGTATACTCTGGATATTAGGGCTCTATCTGAAGTGTGAGGAGTAAAGATTTGTTCCCAGGATGTAGGCTCTCTATTTACCTCTCTTATTGTATCTTTTGCTGAGAAAAAATTTTTAGTTTGAGTAAGTCCCATTTGTTGATTCTAGTTATTAACTTTTGTGCTATGGGTGTCCTATTGAGGAATTTGGAGCCCGACCCCACCGACTGTAGATCGTAGCCAACTTTTTCTTCTATCAGACGGCGTGTCTCTGATTTGATATCAAGCTCCTTGATCCATTTTGAATTCACTTTTGTGCATGGCGAGAGAAAGGGATTCAGTTTCATTTTGTTGCATATGGATTTCCAGTTTTCCCAGCACCATTTGTTGAAAGATGCTATCCTTCCTCCATTGCATGCTTTTAGCCCCTTTATCAAATATAAGGTAGTTGTAGTTTTGTGGATTGGTTTCTGTGTCCTCTATTCTGTACCATTGGTCCACCCGCCTGTTTTGGTACCAGTACCATGCTGTTTTTGTTACTATTGCTCTGTAGTATAGTTTGAAGTCTGGTATCATCGCTATACCGCCTGATTCACACTTCCTGCTTAGCATTGTTTTTGCTATTCTGGGTCTTTTGTTTTTCCATATGAATTTCATGATTGCTTTCTCTATTTCTACAAGAAATGCCGTTGGGATTTTGATTGGCATTGCATTAAACCTATAGAGAACTTTTGGTAATATCGCCATTTTGATGATGTTACTTCTGCCTATCCATGAACAGGGTATATTTTTCCATCTTCTAAGATCTTCTTCTATTTCTCTCTTTAGGGTTCTGTAGTTTTCATTGTATAAGTCTTTCACCTCTTTTGTTAGGTTGATTCCCAAGTATTTTATTTTTTTTTGAAGATATTGTGAATGGAGTGGTTGTCCTCATTTCCATTTCAGAGGATTTGTCGCTGATATACAGGAATGCCTTTGATTTATGCGTGTTGATTTTATATCCTGCCACTTTGCTGAATTCATTTATTAGCTCTAATAGTTTCTTTGTAGACCCTTTTGGGTCTGCTAGGTATAGAATCATGTCATCTGCAAATAATGATAATTTAAGTTCTTCTTTTCCTATTTTGATGCCTTTAATTTCTTTCGTCTGTCTAATTGCTCTGGCCAGTGTTTCAAGAACTATGTTGAACAGAAGTGGTGAGAGAGGGCATCCCTGTCTTGTTCCAGATTTTAGAGGGAATGCCTTCAATTTTTCTCCATTCAGAATGATGCTAGCCTGAGGCTTAGCATAGATTGCTTTTACAATATTGAGGTATGTTCCTGTTATCCCTAGTTTTTCTAGAGTTTTGAACATAAAGGGATGCTGTACTTTGTCAAATGCTTTTTCCGCATCTATCGAGATGATCATATGATTCTTATTTTTAAGTCTATTGATGTGGTGAATAACATTTATTGATTTCCGTATATTGAACCAGCCTTGCATCCCAGGGATGAATCCTACTTGATCATTGTGCACAATTTTTTTGATATGTTTTTGTATCCGAGTGGCCAGAATTTTATTGAGGATTTTTGCATCTAGGTTCATTAGAGATATTGGTCTGTAGTTTTCTTTCTTTGAAGTGTCTTTGTCTGGTTTAAGTATAAGGGTGATGTTGGCCTCGTAGAATGAATTTGGAAGTTCTCCCTCTTTTTCTATTTCCCGAAGTAGCTTGAAAAGTATTGGTATTAGTTCCTCTTTAAAGGTTTTGTAAAACTCTGCTGTATACCCATCCGGTCCCGGGCTTTTCTTAGTTGGTAGTCTTTTAATGGTTTCTTTTATTTCCTCAATTGATACTGGTCTGTTTAGGTTGTCTATATCCTCCTGACTCAATCTGGGCAGATCATATGACTTAAGAAATTTATCTATGCCTTCACTATCTTCTAATTTATTGGAGTATAAGGATTCAAAATAATTTTTGATTATCATCTGTATTTCTGAAGTGTCTGTTGTGATATTGCCTCTTTCATCCTGTATGTTTGTAATTTGAGTTCTCTCTCTTCTTCTCTTCGCTAGCATGGCTAAGGGTCTGTCGATTTTGTTTATTTTTTCAAAGAACCAACTTTTAGTTTTGTCAATTTTTTCAATTGTTTCTTTTGTTTCGATTTCATTAATTTCAGCTCTGATTTTCATTATTTCTTGCCTTCTACTTCTTTTGCTGTTGTTTTGCTCTTCTTTTTCTAGGATTTTGAGATGAAGTATGAGATCATTTATTTGTTGGTTTTTTCTTTTTTTAAGGAATGAACTCCAAGCAATGAATTTTCCTCTTAGAACTGCTTTCAACGTGTACCATAGATTCCGATATGTTGTGTCTGTGTTTTCATTAATCTCTAAGAATTTTTTAATTTCTTCCTTGATGTCTTCTATAACCCATTGATCATTCAGTAACCTATTGTTCATTCTCCAAGTGATGTATTCTTTTCCCTTCCTTCTTTTATCGTTGATTTTCAGTTCCATTCCATTATGATCAGATAGGATGCATGGTATTATCTCTACTCCTTTACATTGTCTAAGAGTTTCCCTGTGACATAATATATGATCTATTTTTGAGAAGGATCCATGTGCTGCTGAGAAAAAACTGTAACTGCTTGATGTTGGGTGGTATATTCTATATATGTCAATTAAGTCTAGGTTATTAATTGTGTTATTGAGTTCTATAGTTTCCTTATTCAACTTTTGTTTGGAAGATCTGTCCAGTGGCGAGAGAGGTGTGTTGAAGTCTCCCATGATGATTGTATGGTGGTCTATTAGACTCTTGAACTTGAGAAGAGTTTGTTTGATGAACATAGCTGCACCATTGTTTGGGGCATATATATTTATGATTGTTATGTCTTGTTGGTGTATGGTTCCCTTGAGCAGTATGTAGTGTCCCTCTTTATCCCTTTTGATTGACTTTGGCTTGAAATCTATTTTATTTGATATGAGTATGGATACTCCTGCTTGTTTCCGAAGTCCATATGAGTGATATGATTTTTCCCAACCTTTCACCTTCAGCCTATGTATGTCTTTTCCTATGAAATGCGTCTCCTGTAGACAGCATATTGTTGGGTCTTGTTTTGTGATCCATTCTACTAGCCTGTGTCTCTTGATTGGTGAGTTTAAGCCATTAACATTTAGGGTTATTATTGAGATATGGGTTGTTCTTCCAGCCATATTTGTTTATTTATGTTACTAAACATGGTTTGTTTTCCTCTTTGATTATTTTCCCCCCTTTAGTGTCCTACCTCCCACTGTTGGTTTTCATTGTTATTTTCCATTTCCTCTTCCTGTAATGTTTTGCCAAGGATGTTTTGAAGAGCTGGTTTTCTGGCTGCAAATTCTTTTAACTTTTGTTTATCGTGGAAGGTTTTAATTTCATCTTCCATCCTGAAGCTTAATTTCGCTGGAAACACAATTCTTGGTTGGAACCCATTTTCTTTCAGTGTTTGAAATATGTTATTCCAGGATCTTCTAGCTTTCAGAGTCTGTGTTGAAAGATCAGCTGTTATCCTGATTGGCTTACCCCTAAATGTGATCTGCTTCCTTTCTCTTGTAGCTTTTAAAATTCTCTCCTTATTCTGTATGTTGGGCATCTTCATTATAATGTGTCTAGGTGTGGGTCTCTTATGATTTTGCACATTCGGCTTCCTGTAGGCTTCTAGGATTTGGGGTTCTGTCTCATTCTTCAAGTCTGGGAAGTTTTCTCGTATTATTTCATTGAATAGATTGCTCATTCCTTTGGTTTGAAACTCTGTCCCTTCCTGTATCCCAATGACTCTTAAATTTGGTCTCTTGATGTTATCCCATATTTCTTGGATGTTCTGCTCATGGTTTCTTAACAGTCTTGCTGAGCTGTCTATGTTCTTTTCGAGTTGA